GAAGAGGAAGGGGGAAAGAAAAAGAATAACACTTACCAGGAGACTCTTGTATACTGGCCAAAGTGGCCAGCATTTCCCTTACGTTTTCTCATTTAACACCCTGCTAACCTTATTTCCTGGAAGTGGAGCTGAGATTCACAGAGGTTAAGTAACTTAACCAGAGATGTAGACCTGGATTTGAACCCAACTCTGCCAAAGTTTGCTGCCATGCTCAGGACCCCTCCCAGCTAGGTCAAAAGGGGAAAAGTCCACCAAACCCTTACTAGACTATGAGCCCCAGGAGGTCAGGCATAAGAATAATGATGATGATTAAAAAATAATAATAATAAAATTAGTGGAGGCAGTGTACCGAATTCGAGCGTCACCACTTCCTGCATGTACGTCTTTGGTCAACTAGGTTGCTTAACCTCTCTGAGTCTCAATTTTACCAACAGTAAATGAGCTTTCTTAGATTAATATCATAAGGTTATAGCTGTTCTGAGGATTCATTGCAATAATGCAGATGAAACTCTTAGCTTAGCACCTGACATGTAGTAGGGGCTCAAGAAAACAGCCAATATCATTTACTTACCCAGATGCTATTTTTTTTGAAAACCAAGGAGCTAGGAATACAGCAATGAAGAAGTAAAGATATTGTTCTTGCTTTAGTGATTTCCTAGTCTCAGTGTTCCTCGGATCCAGCACATTGTTGGGTTAATAAATGTTGAAATGAATGCATAAAGGAATAAATGAATGAATAAATGGACAGACATACTGCAGTCGGTCAGTCCCTGGCTACAGTTTTGAGGAGAGTTAGAGGGAGAAAAGGGAGTTTTAAAAAATAATAATAACCCTGGCTGGTGTGACTCAGTGGATTAAGTGCAGACATGCTCATCAAAGGGTCGCAGGTTTGATTCCCAGACAGAGCACATGCTGGGTTGTGGGTCAGGTCCCCAGTAGGGGTTGCTCAAGAGGCAGCCACACATTGATGTTTCCCTCCTTTCCTTTCCCTCTCTAAAAAGAAATAAACAAAATCTTTTAAAAATAAAAAATAAGAGTTCATATTCCTTGGGCACTCACAAAGTATCAGTGCTTGACTGAATGCTTTTTGTATTCTCAGTTCATCCGCACCTGGAAGGTAAAGAGTGTTACCTGATTTCACAGAGAAGAAAATACTCTCTGGGAGGTAGAGTGACTTTCCTAAAGTCACACAGTGAGTAAGAGCAGAGGTAGGTTTTAGGCTTAAGCCTGCCGCCTTCAAATCTTGGATTCGAACTCTTGCTCCCTTGAAGCAGTGGGCTGGAGGGCCCTGCTGGGGCAACTTCCACCGTCTGCCTCCCACCTGTGGCTGGCTGGCTGGCTGGCCCTTCGGCACACAGAAACTCAGCGGAATGGCCTCCACCTGCACCAGTAATGATGGGGAATGTGCCCCTCTCAGCTTTCAGAGCAAGCTCGCTTCTACTGGCTCATGTGCTGAGCCTCACATTTGATTGTTTTTCACATCAGTCCTGTGAACACAGTATTCACTGCCCGTTCCATAGGCCGGGAGCTGCGGTTCAGAAAGGTTGGCTTTGCAAGGTCGGGCAGGTCAGGCTCCGGCCTGGGGTGGAAACAGCTATTCTCCCCTATGGCCCTACTTCCAAGCTTTCCCTCTGCTGGTCATCGCCTCATTCCTCCCTGCTCTCACAGCCCCCCCCCCCCAACCCTGTTCTCCTGGCCAGGGTGACTGTAGGCCTACGCCTGAGTAAGGTGAGCTAAGAGGGACCTCTGGGGACCGTGACTGGAGTGGTGACCAGGAGGTCACAGTTCACCCAGCATGGGATTTGATCTTTTCATGACTTCTCTGATTCTGGTTTTGGGTGGTGACCCTCTTTAGAAAGAGGGTCTCCCCCAAATTCTCTGCCAGGGGCTCATTTTCCCTGGGTGTCATTCTTACCTGAGGTGTCTCAGAGGAAAACAGGAACACACAAATAATGTGTCAGAAGAGGGTTTAATGAAGGAACTACTCACAGAGGTGTGGGCAGGAATGGTGAAGCGCCCTGGGGCTCAGGGCAATGGAATGAAGTCGCTCCCCACAGCCCCAAGGGGTCGAAGGGGGGGAGCCTCCTTAACGAACCTGGAGAGAGGTGCGTCCATGTGTGCAGACCAACCCACAGGACCTGAGGCTTTTGGGTGGAGGCGCCAAAGTCACAGGGGAAGGGGGGTTGTAAATATCTTGATCTCACTCTCTTCCTTCCTTCTGATCTCCTGCCAGTGTCTCCTATGGCCAAACTTCACCCGAAACCATAAGGCAAGGGGGCCCAGGAGAGACCGTCAGCAGGAGTCAGCCCCAGGACATGACCCATGACCCACGACAGGGCAGAGGAGTTGGCCCAGGGCTTCTGTTCCTGGGCTCTGCTTTTGTGGAAGGACAGAGAGACACTGGCTGTGCTTGTCTTTCAGAGCAGACTGTGCCTGCTACAGAGCATCCATCCTCATCTCTCCAGACCCAGGTTACTTTGTCCGCGAGGCTGTCCCCAGTCCCAGAGTCTCTCCCCTCCCTGGCTTCCCTGGTTCTCTGCCTACCACAGCACTCAGCTCAGTGATCTGGCATTATTCTCTGCACGGGTTCATCTCCCCAGGAGACAGTCCTACCATCCTCCACCCCGTGAGCTCTTTGCAGGCAGGGGTCTGGGCCAAGTAGAGCCATTCGTTCTGACACAGGGCCCGGCACAGTCCGAGTGCCAATATTTGCCTGGTGAGCTGAATCCTACAGCCTCATCACCCCTCTCCGCTTTGGGGTACACGGTTTGGGCCCATGTGTATGTCCGTTTCCCTGAGTACCCTGGGACTCCTTGGTGGTGTGTGTGCCCAGGCCTGGTACACAGCAAGCATCAAATGTTGCCTGAACTGGCCCAGGTAGGACCATCCTTCTTTCCTTCATTCATTCTACATTTTTATTTTTATTATTCTGAGATCCTACTATATGCTAAGCCCTGTCCTGGGCCATGAGAACACGGCAGTAAACAAGACCCACAGAATCCCTGTCCTCATGGGGCTTCCATCCCAGTGGGGGAAGCAAAGGGAGGAATTGGGAAGAAACAATACTATCGCAGGTTGTGCGTGATGAGCGCTGTACAGAAAACAAAGTGACGAGATAAACAGTAAGCGGGTGGACATGCATGGGGGGAGGGAACGTATCAGGGAAGGAGATGATGTGTAAACTGAGACCGGAAGGAGAGTGTAAACCGGGATGTGCAGAGCTGGAAAGGGTGTTCTAGGTAGAGGGAACAGCAAGAACAATGGCCTAGAGGTGGAGGAGTTTCTGGGACCCTGGGGAGTCAATGTTTTGGCTTAAAAAGGGCTTGGGCAGGGGACGAGGAAGGATTAAGGCATTCAGTCTTGGGGTCTGCTGGGGCCAGATCCTGAGCTAGGGGTTTGGAGAGGAAGGGATGACCTTCGTAATACCACCCTTGCTGCCTGTTGCCTAGCACCGACAGCAAACAGTGCTGCTGGCAGGCCTTACCCCCCCACCTCGCTCCCTGCCTCCCCGCTGACTGGCAGCAGCTGTCAAATGACCAGCAGCTGAGGCTCTGCCAGCCTCCTCCCCTGGAATATTTCAGGGGTAAGTCAGTAAATGACCAGCAGCCTCCAAAACCCAAGTTTTTCTTGTGTATACCTTATAAGGGTGTATTTGACTGCCCTGGGTGTTCATCTCCCACCCCCTTGCATTAGACAAAGAGATATAAATATACGGCCACAGGCAGCGCGCTCAGCTACGTGAATTAATGAACAGAGACACAGGCTCCACACACGCAGAAGACAGTCCTCACCTCTGCTTGTAAGCACCCATCCACACACACACATCAGCCCCCAGTCACTCAGGCACACAACCGCACACAAAACTACATACGTGCCCCACTGACGCCGTCCCAATAGTCAGTTCCACACACAGATACTCCACAACCAGCAGGGTCACCACACACACAATCACTTAGAATCGGACAGTCACACATCAGTGGGACCCCACGGTCACTGGTCACACACAGACACACCCAGTCCTACAGTCTCCTGCTCTGCACACCACACACAAAACCAGGGGATGAGCACACAGCCAGCCGTGGGCAGGTTGACACACAACCCACACACATCCAGCACACTGGCATGGTGCCCCCCTCTGCACCCCACTCGAGGCCTCGCTGATTAAACACACGTCCACAGCCAGGTACAGTGCGGGGGGCATTCTTCCACCATTGAGTCAAAGACCTCCCCAGACAGAGGGGCTAAGTGGGAAAAAGGCATCAGAAGGGAGAATGCTCTCCCCCAGAGAGAGACTTCAGTGTTGGAAGTTTGACCTGGACCCTGGTGGGCTAAGGACTTGCGGGAGGGGGCCTGCCTTGGAGTGGACAGAAGCAGCGCTGGGTGGGGGTGACAGGTGGAGCAGGCGAGAGACCCCGGGAAACCTCGCTGCCCGGAAATGAAAGCTGTGTTAAATATGGATTCAACCTCACAGGCTTAAACCCCTCCTATACAGTCCTTCCCTAACCCCGGCCACCGTCTCGCAGGGTCCCCACTGTCCCCACGCGCTTGGGGTGTGGCTGTTAGCCTCCTCTTCCAGCCGCTCAGAGCAGCTGCGGCCAGGGGCCTCCCCGCTGAGCGGGTGGGGGCCGCAAGGCGCTCCACTGCGGGCGACATCCCCAAACGCACGGGGTTGCTGGGACCCCCTCGCAGGGGAGGTGCTCTCCTGGGGTTGCAGACGCCCCCTCCTCTCCCGACTCCCCGCAGCTGGGACCCTTGGAAGGGAGGGGTGGAGAGAAAGAAGGTTCGGGAAGATCTTGAGGCTGGCTAGTTTCGGAGACGCCAATAAGGAACCCCCCAGCCCTCACCACACCCCACTCCACCCCCATCCTAGGCTGGTCTCGGGAGGGGCTGCCTCTCCCCGCCCCCCTGGCCGCGCGGCAGGCTCCCTCCTCCCGCTGGCAGGAGCCCGGGCCAAGTGGGCGCGCCCGCCCGGGGCCGGGATCCGGTGTCGGCTGCAGCTGTCAGTGCGGCGGGCGCGGAGCAGGCGGCCGGCGGGGCCGCCTATTAATAACGCGGCCACCCAGGCCGGGGTCGCGCAGCCATGGCCAGCCCGGAGCCCCGGCGCAGCGGGGACGGCGCCGCCCAGGCCGCGAGGTAGGACAGTCCAGGACCAGCGGGGCCGCCCCCGTGGGGACGGGAGACGGGGGCTGGAGGGACTCCCTTCCCCCACCCACCAGCTCCTTTCGCCTGGTGCGGGTAGTGGTCCTGCGGGGCGCCGCACGGGGCAGAGCCGCCCAGCCAGGGGAGGTGGGGGACCCCGCCCGGGGTCTTGGTATCGTTTGTCAGTGGCTTTTTATAATACCTCCATTCCCACGGGCCATGAAGAGTCAACCCTTTCAACTGTCGGGTGCCGTTTAGGCCGTAGTGGCCAAAGTTACTTGTTTCTTTCAGCCCTCGCCCCAAATACAACAGGAGGTGGAGGGCGCGGGTTGCTGAGTTCACTGTGTGGGAGACACTTGGTGCAAGGCTGGGCATCTGCCAGCCTGGAGTTAAAAGTCTGCTCAGGCAGCTTGCTCTCTGCTGTCTGGGGCCCGGAAAGGGGGGCAGAGTCTAGCGTCCCAGAGCAGCAGGAGGGCCCTGGAGCGGAGGCCGGCTGCATCCATCCACACTGTCAGCTAACCGCTGGCTGGGGGGAGGGACCTGTGGCTGAGGCATCTGGGGCAAGCAGGGAGCATTTCCGCCCCAGGCCAGGCTGTGGCCCTGGGCTTCCCAGCAGACCAAGAGGTGGAGGTGCAAATACACACCCGACACCCCTCACTGGCACACACAGCACAAAGCTGAGCATAGTCTTACACACACACGCACACCTGTACTGCCATACATACACCCAGTCCACAGTCAGACGCACATCAACTCACACCTGCACAGTGTCACAAACACTTCCAGCCACAGCCTTGATAGACTGAGCTGGGAGCTGCTGGCATCCTCTAGGGACAGAGACAGAATGGCAGAGGCAGGCTGTTTGGGGACCCAGGAAGCCTGAGGTCAAGGGCCCCAGCTGAGCTGGCCCCCTTACCCATGGGCCCCCCCATCACCTACTTTCCCCCCAGCTCCTTAGAGGGAGGCGGCTGTGGGAAGGCAGCATCTAGCCGAGGGTTGGCACCCAGGGCGGGGTGACTGAGACAACATGGTGTGTGGTAACAGCACCACCTGGAAGTCAGGAGGCCTGGGTTCTACGTCCAGCTTCGCCACTTGACCTTGGGCAAGTTTCCTCCTTGGATGTCAGTCGGTTTCTGCCTGCCTTCCTTTGACAGAGCCCCACCCTGGGGTACAGAGAGCATGAGAACTATACTCGTCCTTAGGAAATTGACTATCAGGGGAGACGAACGCTCCTATATGTCTGTCTCCCCAGGAGACAACATGCTTCCATAATACAAATACTAACTGCAGAGATGAGCTGCATACAAAGTGCTTTAAAAACACAAGAATGGGAAGATGGACTTTAGCAGGACCGGATGATGAATAGAAACTTGTTAGGCAAATAGACGCACATATGTTTTGAGTGCTACGAGCCAAGTTCTAGAATACCTGCCCTCAGTGTTTTTTACCTCTTTTAGGCCTCGTGCCTATTCTAAGGGAAGAATGGTCAACTGGGGCTCTGGCTCTGGAGCAGAAGCTCCAGTGAGTTCTTTGCTCTGCTCTATGCTTCAGTTACCGCATCTATAAAATGGGGATAACAGACGAGCATCATATACATGAGTGTTCATGAAAAATGCATAGAATACTGCCTTGAACGCAGTTACAACATATGGGGTGGAGGACCCAGCAGGAGGGTGATGTGGGGGCTGCCTGCTGGGAAAGCAGGGTCTCTCTTGAGGACCAGGGTGGGTTCTGGCTGGCTGAGCAGGTGCATCCTGCCCAGCAATAGGAGCGCCACCTTTCCAGGACTGTTCTCTAGTCAGGTGGTATACAATGAACTGTATTTTCTCAGCTGCATCCTTTAGACATTGCAGGCTAGGAGCAGGATGCGTAAAAATTAACTCATGTTCCAGATTGTCAAGCACCAGGTGGGCTCTGGGGGTGGCAACGCGAGATGAGGCTGAAAAGGTATGTTGGGGCCACATGTTTGAGGGCCTGACTCTCTGCTAAGCAGCTGGCTGTCTACGGGTGTGGTGGCTGACAGGGCTTGCTGTATATGCTACAGTCAGCTGAGCATTGTAGGGCACAGACGAGGAGGAGGCTTGTTGAAAGGCGGGATCAAACACGTAGGTGAGAAATGACGACTTGGACTGGGGCCCTGGCAGTGGATGCAAAGCGGGTGGGGCCTTGAGACTTTCAGAGACAGAAGGGTCAGTCCTGGTAAGTCGGCTGTACAGGGGAAGGAAAGAGCGGTTTGAAGATTTCCCGCCATATCATCCTGGTCTATGGTGCTGTGTTTCTCTGAGCTGGAGAATACAGGTGCAGCCAACTTGGGGAGAATAATTTTTTTCCTCACCCAAGGATATATTTTTGTTGATTTTAGAGAGAGAGAGGAAGGGATAGATAGAAATATCGATGTGAGAGGGAAACATCAGTCGGCTGTCTCCTGCATGTGTCCCAGGAGTCAGACCTACAACCTCCACAACCTGGGCAGTGCCCTGGCCGCGGACTGAACCCTGTGTATCTCTTTGATACACAGGATGATGCTCCAACCCACTGAGCCATCTGGCCAGGGTGGGAGAATAATAATTTAGGGCAGTTTGAGGTACCGAGTAACAGCTGGTAAAAATATCTAGGAAACACTTCCTCTCTGGTAAAGTGATGTGAGTGGCTGTGGGGTTGTCTTCAGATTTAGGTTCTGGTGTGGCTGCCAGGTTGAACGAAGCCGATGGTGCCTGGGGCCTGCTAAGCCAGACTTTCATAGTTTCCAGAGGGCCCACGTGAGAAAAGAGAAGGGGAGCCAGAGATTCCTGGGGTGTTAGAGAAGACAGAGTACAGGATATGTGGGACTTGTTTTATTTTTTAAAAAAGATTTTATTTATTTACTTTCAGAGAGGGGGGAAGGGAGGGAGAAAGACAGGGAGAGAAACATCGGTGCAAAGAGATATACCAGACGTTTGCCTCTCCCACGCCCCCAACTGGGGACCTGGCCCACAACCCAGGCAGGTGCCCTGGCCGGGAACTGAACCAGCGACCCTTTGGTTCCCGGGTCGGCATTCAATCTACTGAACCACACCAGCCAAGGGTCTTTTATACTTTATATCTTTTTAAAAAATGTTTCTTAGAAGCTATAGTCAAATTTAGTCTGTTTTATAACTAGTGTACTTTAAATACCTGAGTTTCCATGAGCAAATTTCTTTATCTCTTGTAGCCTGTTTTTTATCTGTAAAATGGGGACAAATGTAACCACCTCATAGAATTGCTACGAGGATTGCATGAGTTAATATACACTGAGCATTTAGAATAGGGCCTGTGGAACAAATAAGACCTAAGAACTGTAGGAGTATAAGAATTATTTCCATGTATTTTGTATTTTCAAATAATTGCTCAGAGATCCAAGGTAGATAAGATGCATTTGAAACAGAAAAGCCCAAAGCCACTTGAGGGCCAGAGAATCAGGGAGGCACTCTGGGAGGGTCAGCCCAGACCCACACCCGCAAGACTGCTAAGGACCCGGTCGGGCCGGTTTCCAACCCTCTGGACTGCCTGTCACTCAGTTGTCCCCACTTGCTTGCTAGCCCGAGGCTTAATCGAAACTTTCCCACCGTGCAAAATAGACACCTGGTGCTGGCCACAGTAGCCGGTGACTGGGACTGACTCTCCTGTACCTGGGAACAGCCAGGCCCTTTACTGAACCCGTTGCCCCAGTTCACATCCTGGAAGAACAAGAGACTAACGCGTCCCCTATCCCCTCACAAACCTGGCACTTTTTCTTTTAAAAACCCCACTCTTGCCTTCCCCTGGTGCTGAAGTCGACCTGACGCAGCCCGTAGCAGCATCAGATAAAGGCACTTGAATCAGATCACCTGGTTTCTCCTGCCTCTATTTCTTGCTCATTTCTAACACATTCATTGACAGGAACTGATTGAGCTAGCAGACAATGGGCAGCTGCGTTATGGGCCTCGTTTGTTAGAGCTACAGAATCTGTATTCAAGAGCCTTCACGGGTTAGAAGAATGGGCCAGTTCTAACAAAATGATTGAGCCCTGGCTGGTGCGGATCAGTGGACAGAGTGCCAGCCTGCAAACTAAAGGGTCGCAGATTTGATTCCCAGTCAGGACATGTTCCTGGGTTGCAGTCCAGGTCCCCAGTGGAGGGTGCGTGAGAGGCAACCACACATTGATGTTTCTCTCCCTCTCTTTCCCTCTCTCTAAAAACAAATAAAACCTTTTAAATGGAAAAAAATGAAATTTTACAGGAGCAAGCGATATGGTTTAAAGTCACTTGCTGTGAAAATGCCTTAAGGGTTTTAGTCAAACTCGGCATTCGTCAAGAGTATGATGGAACCTCTCTATATGCCAAGGGAATCTTGGCTGCATCAATAGGAGTTTAGTGTCCAGAGACCGACTGCTCAGAGCGCACCTGTGTATTGCTCCCATCCCCATCCCCAGGGGACAGTGACAATGTGGAGTCTGGTCAGAAAGAAGTGACCCAAGTGAGGAGGACACTTGGAACCTTGGCATGCATGGAACGATTAAAATATAAGTTCTTTCTCTGTAAGGGTTTAGAGAGCTTACATGGAAAAGAAGATTCGTCTGATTCTAGAAAGAAGAATCAAGCCCAGATAAAAATTGCAGGGAAGAAGGTTTTACTTCAACATCAGAGTGTGTGTTATGATAGTGAAACAAATAGTGGTGGCTCAGGCGTGAGCTTCCTGTCCTTGACGGTGTGTAAACGGAGGCTAGACATGGACATCATGGGTGTGTTGTCCGAGGGTCTGAGCAATGGGCTGTGTGGGGACAGGTCCGTGGAGGGAAGGGAGCGAACGAGTGCCCAGAAGTGAGAACGGGATGCCCCCTGCGCCTGGGTCTGATGGCTCCAGCCACGAACCACCTGGAATTGTGGCTGCCCGCTCACGTTTCCTCATTTCTCTTGCAGGGGAACAGGGGCAGAGGACAATTCTTTTCAAGAGGAGAAGCAGTCTGAATCCCTGGATGAGGAGAGGCCCTTGGACCCAGAAGTTGCTCTATCTTTGGAGGGGACCTTGGACTTGGAGGACATTCTCTACCTGGGGGCCACAGATGACTTTGATGACACACTGTACGTGGAAGAGACTGAGAATCCTGAGGAGACACTGCACATTGAGGAGATCAGGCAGCCAAAGGAGCCCCTGTGTGTGGAAGAACCCGTGAAGCCAGGGGAGACGCTGCACGCGGAGGAGACTGTGAAGCCGGAGGAGGAGGCGCTGTGTGCGGAGGAGACGCTGTGTGCGGAGGAGACTGTGAAGCCGGAGGAGGAGGCGCTGTGTGAGAAGGAGACGCTGTGTGCGGAGGAGACTGTGAAGCCGGAGGTCACAAGCCCAGAGCAGACAGCTTCTGGGGGAGAGACACTCACAGACGTGGAGAAACCTAACCCCGAGGAGAGCCTCGGAGCCGGGCCTACTCCCAGCCCAGAGGACAGCCTGAGCATAGAGGACCTGGAATTGCTGGAGGGGCGCTTCCAGCAATGTGTCCAAGCTGTGGCTCAGCTGGAAGAGGAGAGGGATCAGCTCATTCATGAGCTTGTGTTGCTCCGGGAGCCAGCCCTCCAGGAGGTGCAACAAGTCCATCAGGACATCCTGGCCGCCTACAAACTGCATGCTCAAGCAGAGCTGGAGAGGGACGGGCTGCGGGAGGAGATCCGGCTGGTCAAGCAGAAGCTCTTCAAGGTGACAAAGGAATGTGTGGCCTACCAATACCAGCTGGAGTGCCGCCGGCAGGATGTGGCCCAGTTTGCCGATTTCCGGGAAGTGCTGACCGCACGAGCAGCCCAGCTCTCGGAGGAACTGGCCCAGCTCCGGGATGCCTATCAGAAGCAGAAGGAGCAGTTAAGGCAACAACTAGAAGCACCTCCAAGCCAGGGGGATGGGCACTTCCTGCAGGAGAGCCGGCGGCTCTCCGCCCAGTTTGAGAATCTCATGGCAGAGAGCCGCCAGGGCCTGGAGGAGGAGTATGAGCCTCAGCTGCTGCGGCTCCTAGAGAGGAAAGAAGCTGCTGCCAAAGCCCTGCAGAAAACGCAGGCAGAGATCCAGGAGATGAAGGAGGCTCTGAGACCCCTGCAAGCAGAGGCGCGGCAGCTCCAGCTACAGAACAGGAACCTGGAGGACCAGATCACACTTGTGAGGCAGAAACGAGACGAGGAGGTGCAGCAGTACAGGGTAGGCCCATTGGACATGAGGGGGATTGCGGTCTTTTAGCCTGGGGAAGGAAAAGGTGCCAGGAGTCCAACGTCTTTGGGGATGAAGGATATTGAATAATTTATTCTTTGGGGCCATTCACTCACGTCCCTTCCACATTCTTCATTTAGTGCATTCAGGCCTGTCCTAGGGGCTGAAAATGATCTGCACTTTCAGTGATCATTGGTTCACCCCACTTTTACACCAATTATCTCATTTGATCCTCTCATCAATCCTCTAAGTCATATATATATATATATATATATATATATATATATATATATATATATATATATATATAATATATAGAGGAAACTGAGGCCCAGTGAGCCGAGTAACTTGAACCCTGGTCTGACCAACCGCAAATATCAGTGCTCTTTCCATGGCACGATTTTCCAATTCTAAGTGAATGACACCTTACAGAGAGCAAGAGGGTAGGAGGCGAGTTGAAATTCATTCACTTTCCCCTCCCCCGAAATGCAACCTCCAGTCCCGCTTATCTGATCTCTGCCTTGAAGTGTTCCAGTCTTAAAACTGGCATGAAACCTATAAATCTCTATTCCTTATTTTCCTTTTTTGTGCATTTGTCACCATCTCACTCATAGTCAAGTTGTTTCTGATTAATTGTGAGCCAGCTCTAATCCCTTTATGGAACAGTGGGATATAAATATTCATGAATGTCCCCCACAGGCTGGGAGCTCTTGGAAGGTAGGGAATTTGTTTTACTTACCTCTGACTCTCCCGCTCAGAGTGTGTGTCAGTTAAATCTTGATTTAAGTGCTGCTGGGTACTGTAAGAAGTTTACAGTGTGGTACCTTTTAGAGCAGTAGTTTTGTCTTTTGACAAAACTTAAACATCTCATCCCTGGCTGGTGTAGCTTAGTGGGTTGAGTGTTGGACTGCAACCCAAAAGGCTGCCAGTTTGATTCCCAGTCAGAGCACATGCCTGGGTTGCAGGCCAGGTCCCCCATTGGGATGGACGAGGGGCAACCGATGTTTTTTCCTTCTTCTCTCTTCCTTCCCCTCTCTCTGAAAATAAATAAATAAAACCTTAAAAAAAACACACGTAAACATCTTATGCCTTCCCAGACATCCTGATACATCCTTAAGGGAACGTGTCCTCTGTTAAAAATGGCTGCATTCGCTTTACTCAAGCTTTCTATGGCTCGTGTTATGAAAACAGTAGGGTTTTTTGGTGATAATACTGAATGTTTTCAAACTATGCATATGTGTAGTATCCTCACCCTGACCCCCACTGTTTTTTATGCATTCACAATGTAGTGAAAGGGCACTTATTTTACTAGCTTACACTCAAATGGACATTACATTAATTGTAATCCAGGACAGAAAGTAACATGTGATTTAAAAGAGGTGCCGGTAAGAGTGCTATGGAAAAATGAGATTATTTTTAGCCATGGGTTACATCAGAGAACCCTTTGTGGAAGAAGAGGTGTTATTTGAGCTAGGTATTGAAGTATAGGCAAGATTTAGACCAGTGCTGTCTAAAACAAATATTATGCAAGCCCCATATATAATTTAAAGGTCTCTGAAAGTGACATTAAAAAAGAGAAGTAGGTGAAGGTAATTTTAATATATTTTATTTAGCCCAATATATCCAAAATATAATTAGTAACTTGGCTGCATGTGAAAGGGGAAAAATTGAAAGGTAGGTTGAACCGTGAAGGTAGGTAGGGGCACATTGGACTTTGAAATCAAACTAGGGAGTTTGGACTTTATTCAGTTGCATCATTAAAGGTATTTAAATTAACCAATATTGTCCCAATAAATTTAATTTAGAAAATAAAAGCATAAAAGTATTTAACATGATTGTTCCTCTACTTTTAGAAAAAGTACTGGTGCCCTGGCTGGTGTAGCTCAGTGGATTGAGCGCGGGCCTGCGAACCAGACAATCGCGGTTCGATTCCCAGTCAGGGCACATGCCTGGGTTGCGGACCAGTTCCCTGCAGGCCAGTTCCCAGCAGGGGACGCACAAAAAGCAACCATACATTGATGTTTCTCTCCCTCTCTCCTTCCCTTCCCCTCTGAAGATAAATAAATAAAAAAATTAAAAAAAAAAAGAAAAAGTACTGGTGGCAGTGAGTAAAACGGGCTAGAGACCCAGAGGCAAAGGAGAGCAGCTGGGAAGCTGCTGTAGGGAAGAGGCAACAATGACGGAAGGAAGAGCATGAATGAGGAACAAGGGTGGTGCAAGCTGGGCCATTGCATGAAGAGGGCGGAGAGGGGAGAAGTCAAAGAGGATGCTGAGAAGGCAGGCAAGGGTGACTAGGATGGTGGTGTCATACACAGGGAATCATCTGGATTGGTTTTTGTTTTATTTTTTAAGATTTTATTTACTTATATTTAGAGAGATGGGGAGGGAGAGAGAGGGAGAAACATCGACTGGTTGCCTCTCACACCGGGGGACCTGGCCTGAAACCCAGGCATGTACCCTAACCCAGAATCAAACCAGTGACCCTCTGGTTCCCAGGCCAGTGCTCAGTCCACTGAGCCACACCAGCCAGAGCTTTGGATTCATTTCCTAGCGTAGTACTTGAGTTGTAGAATCTTTCTCCCCCGTGACTTTCATCACTGTACTGGATTTATTCAGATTTGATGGTTGCGCAACTTTCCCTAGTTCATTCTGTGAAGAACGCTCTTAATGTCTCCCATCACTTAACCACAGTTAAAGTAGAAATCAAGGCAGGAAGCAGCTAATTCTGTCTGAATGGCTTCCTATATTGTTTGCCAAAGGTCACTCACGGCACCCGATTCCTTTTCAAAGGTACACTTCACTCTTGCAATTGTGAGCACTGCCTCTTTCGTGTATCCACTCAACAGATACTGTCCCAGTGCTTACTCACTTGTGCCAACAGTCACCGTCTGTGTGCCGGGCGGGGGGCTATGTGCTGGCAGGAGAAGTGGGGAGGGGCCGGAGTCCCTGCCTTCCAACACTTGACAGTCCAGGAGGGACACCAGGTAACATGCACATACTTCATAGAACTGAAGACATTTTTAAAATTTTTATAAAATTCCTCACCCAAGGATATGTTGATTGATTTGAGAGAGAGAAACATGGACCAGTTGCCTCCTGTATGTGCCTCCACCGGGAAATCGAACCCACAACCTTTTGGTGGACAGGATGATGCTCCCAACCCACTGAGCCACCTGGCCAGGATCTTAAGATCCATTCTGACCTGTTAAAATGTCAAAGCTTTAGAATCAATGAAATAATAGACTTCAATGTGGTAAACACTGTAATAGTTACAGGAATAAAGGCATTGTATTGTACCAATGAAGCCGGTGTAATTACCCCTGCCTGCGGAGACAGGGTGAAATTTTGTAAGAGGACTGATTAATAGATGGCATGTACTTGAAGTTCTTTACATGTAATAATTCATTTAATCCTTACCTCTCTGAGGTAGGTATGTCCTACTGTCATCGTTTGAAAAATGAGAGCACAGGTGAGACAGAGACGTGAAGTCGTTTGTCCAGGGTTACACACCCAGGAAGTGAGGGGAGGATATATAACCCTGTGCTATAGCTCCAGTCCACTGTCGACCACTACAAGGTGTTTGTGTGAATGAATTCCTGGGGTAGACAGGGAAAGGCATTCCAAGCAGCGCGGAGAGCTTATACAAAAGCATGAAAACACACAGACACGCTACAGGAAGTTGGGGTGGCTGGATCATCCGGAATGTGAGTAGAGCGACAGGGCTGGAGAGAACCCACATGTAAAAGGGCTTTTTTATGCAATCTTTAGGGAAGTGGTTTTCAAAATGAGGTTTTCTTCAAAGCCACAGACCTTTTCCCCAAAAACAACTGTATAGGGAATGCCAGTATATAAAACAGGCAAAAGTGGAGCTACTGTCTAATTAAAGTGGCAGGGGCACCCCATTTTGGCTTTCTGGGGTATCATGGGAAAGTTTGAAAACCACTAAAGAGCCTACATATATGCAGGCAAAAAAAAAAAAAAAAAAGCATTAAGAATGTGAACTCTAACTCAATGGTGAGACCTAGTTCTACCACTTCCTAACCGGGTAACTTTGGACACATTTCTTAACCCACATGGCTCTGCTCCCACACATGTATAATACACATTATAGGCTTTTGCAAGGGATGAGCTAGTTAATATTTATAAAGTACTTGCAATGGTGCCTGGCACATAGGTATGTACTCTTCAAAGTGGTAGCGTGGTGGGTGGATTCGAAAAGCCTAATGGGCAATTTAGACCTTATGAGGGGAGATAGTGAGACTCGTGGAGTAAAACAGGTAGGATCTGGACTGGCTACAGTGGGAGGTGAAGAATTTGCTGGGGATGATCTGTTTTTGACCAGAAACTAGTAGGGTGCCAATGCTGAAATATTGAATATGCTCACTATCGGCAAGTTTTACATCAACAAGCATTATGTATAAGGTGCTAAGAATCGGGAACCTGTGATCTGATTGGGAGTTAGACATGCATTTGAAAGACAGATAACAGTGCAACAGCAGATGCTGTCTGGGTGGAAGGAAAGGCAGAGATCTGAGCTGGTCAGGCTGCATCAGCACTGTCCAATACAAGTCTCACACAAGACACAGGTGCCATTTAAAATTTCTAGTGGTCACACTAAAAAAAAAAAACGTAAGAAACTGGTGAAATTAATATTCTATGTAATCCAGCATATAAAAACATTAAAATTTCAACATACAATCAGTATCAAAATTTGAGGTAGTTATGTTTGTGCCAAGTCTTAGAAACCTGCTTTCTTACACTCACAGCATGTCTTACACTCACAGCATGTCTGAATTTGGGCGAGTCATGCGTCAAGTGCTGTAGCCACATGTGGTTGGTGACTTTCATACCAGACAGTGCCAGGGGGCAATGTTCACATGTAAGAGTAATGGAGGCTCCAGTGAGAGACGGGGGTCAAACCAGAGGGGGTCTGAAGGCCAAACTAAAAGAAGTGGGAAGCATTTGGAAGACTGTGATAAAGCAGTTTTTAAAAAATTAATCTAGTGGTGCTACATAGAATTAAGGCTAGAGATTAGTCCTTAGTGCCAGGGACTGTAGCCACAGGTCCTTCACTTGGTGACACCATTTCTCCCTGTCAAAGAACTGATGGTGCAGACTACCTTCTCAGGCAGGTAAAGGTACTTTGGTGTCTCGCCAAAATAACAGGTTTGCTAGTGGGGCTTGGGAAATTGGGGTACAGAGGTATGCAGGTGCTTCCCTTCAGACGACATGCTTAGACAGTGAGGCTGCACTGCTGTGTGGTCCAAAGCGTGGAGAGGCACTAAAAAAAGGCCTTTGATAGTGTTTGAGATTCAGCCAGAGTATCAACCATTGCAGACTGACACACCATAGGTAAATCAAGGATGACTCAGAGAACAAACTATTTAGATCCTTGCAATCCAAACTGGATTTCTCTTACTATTCTCCAAATTTGAGAAGTCACTGCCTCTTTAAAATATGCCTTCCAGGCCCTGGCTGGTGTAGCTCAGTGGATTGAGTGTGGGCCTGCGAACCAGAGTATCACGGTTCAATTCCCAGTCAGTGCACATGCCTGGGTTGCAGGCCAGTTCCCAGCAGTGGATGCACGAGAGGCAACCATACATTGATATTTCTCTCCTTCTCTCTTCCCCTTCCCCTCTAAAGATAAATAAAATCTTAAAAAAAAATGCTTTCCAACTCTGTTTCCTAAGGATGTCAGCTAGCAACTAAACACCAGACTGATTTGCTGACATCTTCCTTACCTCATTGTTCAGGTATTAACCCTCAGCAGTGACCATTTACAGAAGGCATCCTGCCTGGTGTGGGCAAAATGGGCAAAATTGGGGAGTGGAGTTATCTGAAAGCTCCAGGGGGCCCCCAGGGCATAGCATCATAGCATCTTCTTCTAAATTAACATTTCTCAGCTCACCAAGTAGAGGATCAAATTCTTCCCCAACCAACACTTCTTAAAATTGTTACACTAAAAATTCTGAGTACCTGTCTCCCCTTAATAGCAGGATGCTGTTAAGAAGTAAGCTGTAGTTAACAGACAAGACTCCTTTCAGGTCACCATCTTCAAATAGAGTATCACTTTGTCAAAACACCACCTTTTGAATCCGTTTTAGTGTCAATGCTGTGAGGATTAAATGATAGACAAGGAAGTGCTTTGTAAACTACCAATGTTTATTGTTCGGCTCATCAGGTATGTTCTTGGCCCTCTAATGCAGGAACAGCTGGAGAAAATGGAAGAACGACAGAGGCAATTAAGAAGTGGGGTGCAACTCCAGCAACAGAAGAACAAAGAGATGGAGCAGCTAAGGATCAGCCTTGCTCAAGAGCTCTCAACTTATAAGTCAGTTTTTGCTGCTACCCCAATCTCAACTAATGCTGGCTGAGTGGCTGGGGGTGGGGGGAAAATGATTCCAAAAATTATTTCATCCATGAACAGATAAAAAGTGGCTCTTTTCTTTTTAAAGGGCTATGCTACCCAAGAGCGTGGAACAGGCAGGTGAAATCGAGACAGAGTCTCAAGGTGACCCTTGTGGGTGCAAGAGTGGTGTTTGCATTGCTTGCTTAACAATACTAATACCTGAAAAGAACTTAAGTGTGTGTCTAATGACAAACCATTTAGGGATAGACAGCACATACCTCCAATTTGCTTAGTTCAAGCATTCAGTTTATTGGAATGTTTCAGTTTCTGGTAGGACTCAAAAACATGCCCTCATTATCACCAGGAATTCTGTAACAGGACAAAACATCTAGGCGCTGTGCATTCACTTTTCTCCCCCCTTCCCCAACATGCTCTTCATCAAGTTTCCTTAGAATAGCAGAGGGGGCAGTTATGCTACCTTGTTCAGACTATGACAAAGAGAGACCAAGGCAGCTAAATTATTCTACATAAAAAGGCTGGAGAGGATGTTAAGGGCTGAGGGATAGGATTATTGCTTAGATTATGAAACATGCAACACACCTATCCGCTAATTCCTCTATGTACCAATTATGTTATTCGTTTTAGATTCTCTTGGGTAAAGAAACTAAGGATAAAAAAGGTCTCTGTCAAGTTGTATGCTAGTTCAATGCACATACATTTTATTAACTTCCTAGTTAACCTTACAGCTTACATACAGGCTCACAAATAACTATTGTAACTGATGCTTTTTCTAACTTTCTAGGATCTTCCTTCACTGTGCTTTATCCAGGCATAACTGATTACACTTCCTGTTTGGGAGATTACTAGAGCCTTGTAATTGAGGAAAATGATCTGTTAAACACCTTTGTGTGGATCAGATTAAAAGTACAATAGGGGAAAGGCAGTGGTTAATTCAAAGAAACGAAAACTACAGAATTTCAGGCACTGTTAAACTTAACCTGGACAGAAAGAAATTTTACCCAGCTCCTCCCATCACATCACACAGGTTACCATGTGTTATGGTAACCTTTGCAAATAGGAAGCAGCCAAGTATTTGCTAGGGGGAAAGTCATCCCTGGTCGTGAGTCACAGTCTAGCAATCTCTCCCCAACATAGCCTGCTCTAAATTTCTGAAGTTATCTGTTATAAACTTTATATTGTAACATTTCAAACTGCACGAAGTATAAACTCATTTTTTTTTTCAACCTTACAGGAGCTGTTTAGAAATGTATGGTGGAATCTGTAATCCTGAAACAACCAAAAAAGCTTCTTAGCACTAAGGATCACTAAGTACCCTTTGGACACTTTTTCCAGACAAGAGTGCCAGGGACTTGGCAAGCAATTCACCTTGGGAAATTTACAAATACTGACTGACCTGTTTTAAAAGATTCTGGGGCTGGCTGGAGGCAGAAGGCATCAGTCAGTTCCTACCTGGGTTCTATGTCATAGGGCTGCTGGTACTGATCAATGCACAGAAGATTGGAAAACACAAGCCTCCTGCCCTCCAGCAGCGACCTGCAGGCCGAGTAAAGGATCGGTGTATGCACACCTGCAGTCTGTCTGAAGAAGGCATCTTGCCTGGGGTTGACCTAAACCAAAAACATTATTTTGAAGCACAGGTGGGGTCAGCAGACAGCCAGTTTTCATGATATGGGTTTACAATTTGAATTCTTTTGTGCCATGCCTTGAGTATTAAGACTTTAAAATGAATCCTTTTTCAAAGTTTACTTTTCTTTCAGTCTATGCTGACTCACAGTTTACTGAATTGTGTCAAGATAACTTTCACTATTCTCTAAAAGAACTACTGACGTGAAAAAAAGGAGCTAATCCAGATTTCCTGAAAGATCGTACCTCATGACAATGATTTCTGGTCAGTGATCCAGTCAGCCAGACCTAGTGATTACACAGAACCAGGGACTTTATCTGGTCACAACACTCAGCTAGAAAGGCTTTCAAGAGCCCATTGTTTCTGACCTCTAAGTACAGACCCCAGTGAAAAACATACTGTGGAGATTCACCCTATGAGAAAAGGTTCAAGTACCTTTTCCGAACTTAATTTTTGCCTTACAATCTCTCTGCCTCACTGCCTTTGACATTCTTGCAAGTCCGCGTAGGATCCTCTAGGGATAGACTTCAGTAAGATGTTATTTTATCAAAGACTAATCTGTGCACCTGTGATCCAGTGTTTTGTATCTTTCACTTTCCAAGGGAAGGAGTGAAGCTCTTTTCTGTAGCTCTGGGTCTATTAAAATTAATTTTGCTCTTGATAGTCAAAGACCATAGAAAATAACTTTCATCTAAGAATTCTTCTAGAAGCCAGAGACTGGTGTTTGATAGATATTATATACTAAAGAAAACCCATCAGTGCATGGAGTTATGTAGAAAAGCAATTTATTCCATTATAAGCACTTACACAGTTAGTCATGGAGAATAACAGGCCTGCTAATGAAACAGGTCACCCAAAACAGATGGTATCAAACTAGTGGTCAAGGACTAACTCCTAAAAAAAAAAGGGCAACTCTTATCCGGGATTAATTTAATTTTAAAAACAAATACAAGCTATTGATTCACTCTTCTCAGCTGACAGTCTACCTGGAGTAAAACTGTCAGGTAAAAACATACATCTTTACAACTTGGTGGTCCCAAGTTTTTATTTTTTTAAAAAAACCATTTCACAGAAAGGAAAGAAATAATATGAAAACTGCTCAAGAAATACACTAACAAGCAAAAATATATGGGGAAAGAGGAACGTGTAGTTTTGACTTAACTCAAGAAACTCAGAGGAGACTGGCCTACAGAGGAAAATGTGCATCCTGGACAGACAGGTGTGAAGACTTTCGAGTAGCAATTTATGACTTGAATCTCCCCTAATTCCTGAATAAAAATGACATCTTGCAGTACTTGTACTTCATGGCTCAGACACCTATCTCACTTGGCTCTATTCCTTACTTCTAGCCTTTACTTAAATGAGTTTGAAAAACTTGGGGATATAGCATTAGAAGAAAAATAAAATAACCACACACAATAATCCCCTTTTGGTGGCTACTTTAGATTTTTGTTATTAGAAAATTCCTGAAGAAAATTTAAATATAAGTCTGTGGCTTTGCTGAATCAAGTCCCCCAGTTAACATTTAGAAAACACCCTCAGTTTGGGCTAATAGCATTGTTGATGGTACCTAATACAGAGGGATAGCTGAACAAAGTCTGGGTCTCAAAACCAGTGTTAAATCAGTATCATCAGGGTGGAAAGGAAAAAAGGGGAGTCTAAAATCACAAGAAGTGCAGATGTGTTTAAGACCCCTGTCCTTCTGGATCCACGCTTCCTTCAGGGTCTTCATCATTATAAATGTTCTCTGCCTGCCGGAAGAAAAAAAAAAGTATTCAGTAAACATGAAGGCAAGTTCAAAAACAGATTAGGCTGGATAAACAAATTACAGGCCATACAGTCTGTAACAGTCTCTGCAACTATTTGACTCTGCAGTTGTTAGAGGAAAACAGCCCAGACAATCTGCAAACAAAAGGGCATGTCTGTGTTCTAATAAGAACAGGCAGCTGGCCCACAGGCCAACACTCCTGGAATTAGGACATTCCCACAAAACTGAAGTATGGTTATTGTACGCCTTAATAATCAACCTTCTTTAGTCCTTCAGCCAGATATTATTCCTAACAGTCAAAAAGTAAAAACAGCCCTGGCTGATATAGCTCAGTGGATTGAGCACAGGCCTGCAAACCAAAGGTTGCTGGAACCAATTCCCAATCAGGGCACATGCCTGGGTTGCAGGCCAGGTCCCCAGTGGGGGGTGTGCAAGGACAACTATACATTCATGTTTCCCTCCCTCCCTAAAAAACAAATAAAATTTTTACAAATAAATACAATCTAAAAAAAAAGAAAGAAGTAAAAACACCACTAATGTCCACTGACTGATAAGTAAAATGAATGTTATATCCATAATGGACTACTATTAGGAAATAAAAACAGCCAGTCACATATTGTATGATTTTATTTATAGTAAATGTTCAGAATAGGCAAATCCACACAGAAAGTAGACTGGTGGCTGCCAAGTGCTGGGAGGACTGGAGGAAAATGAGAAGTGATGGGTAGTGGGTACGGGTAGTTATGGGGTTTCTTTTTGGCGTAACTGATGGTGGCAAAGGTCGCATAATTCTGTGAATACACTAAAAATCACTCAATTGTGTACTAAAAAAGAGAAACCTCACCAAAACTGTATGTTCCGAATCTCAACATAAATATTTTTAACTGAAAATTACTCTTGTGTAAAATAAACTCTGCTTCTATTTTTTGATTTATTACCTATATCCAAAGGCATGTTAAATACAGGAACCATTTTCATTTAGGCAAAATTCTTCTAACATGCACAAATCACTAGGCTAGGCACTACAGAGGATGAAACTGACCTGTCCTTAAACAACTTGTATCCTGACTGCAGGGAAATGTATAAAATTGTGTGATGTTTTCTGACAATGAATGTGTAATCTTTGTCCCAACATGAATTCTCTGATGCCAACTGGGTATCCACCATGTCAATTCAACCCTGACACTAACTACTTAGAGGTAGCACCACTCTACACATTTAAGGGATGTGACTAAGGGCTTGGTTGGTTGGAGATCGTCCTGAACAAAAGGTTGCCAGTTCAATTCCCGGTCCAGGTGTACACAAGAGGCAACACCAAGTGGTGTTTCTCGCTTTCTCCCTCCCTTCCCTTCTCTTAAAAAACAAAACAAACTCCACCGTCCTCATTCTAGAGGCCAGTGATAAGTCCTGAGTGCCCACGCTACCTGGGTACTTCCATCCGGCTTGTTGGCTATACATTTGGCGATTCCCATAACCCCCTCAGGGTTGATAATTTGCTAGAATGTCTCACAGAACTCAGGCAAGTGCTTTATTTACTTTTACTGGTTTATTATAAAAGCCAGAACTCAGGAAGAGCCAAATGGAAGAGCTGCACAGGGCAAAGTGGGCAACAGGCACAGAGCTCCAAGTCCTCTCTAGCTGGAATCCATATATTCACCAACCCAGAAGCTCATCAGATCAAGGGCTTTTCCAAGAGTTTCTCAGAGCTCAATCCCCCCATTTGCAGGTTAGTGGAACTGTAAGTTCCAACTCTCTAAGTGTTTGGTCATTCTGGAGACCAGACCCATGCTGAGGCTGCAGCAGAGGCCCCCCTTAAGTCCCTTCCTTAGCCTAAACAGACTTCTTATAAATAGCAAGAGACTCCCTGCAATAACTACGTATGGTGTCAGATACTAGACTTACCGGGCGATCATTTCTTAAGCCAGCAATTTTCAACCTTTTTCATCTTGTGGCACTCATATAAACTAATTTACTAAAATTCTGTGGCACACCAAACAATATATATTTTGCTGATCTGACCAAAAAATAGGTATAATTATACTTCCTTCACAACTGGACAGCTATTGTGTTGGCAGTAGTCATTTTTTATTTGACAATCTAAGGGAAAAGAGGCCCTGACTAAATAGGCAGATACTGAATGCTTTAAAAATTCTTGTGTCACACCAGTGTGCCTGCTGCGGCACGCTGGTTGAAAATTGCTGTCTTAAGTTACATAAAGTCTAATCACTATGTTGTACACCCAAAACTAATATATGTCAACTGCAACTGAAATTAAAAAAAAAAAAAACAACAATAATTTTGATGTTTCTCATGTCAATGTCTCTTTCCATCCCTCCCCCTCTCTTAGGGGGGGAAAAATCAGCCTGTTCTTTACTGGTGAAGATAAAAAAGGAAACAAAAAACCCAACTCACACCCCAGCAACTGAGTAAAACAACAACTTGGCCTGGAATTGATAGCCTTGAAGGCGATGAAGTTCAATATCCTATGGTGTTCTCATGGCAACCACTAAAAATCTTTAACAGAGATTATCCAAGGAAGCTCATTTCACCTTCCTGTTAGAACTTTTAAACTTTTCATATTAATTTTCTGTGGGTGAGGTGGACTTTCTATTACACACGTAACACATCCTTGAAGGATATAAAAATATCAAGAACTCCCTAAGTGTACAAACTACATTTTAGCAAACAGATTTCTAAAATGTATACCTACTACCTATATTTAAACATAAGCCTGATACACATAATTTTAATACGAGGGATTCCACCATGCTATTCTGCAACCTGCTTTTTTTCTCTGCTTAATAGTATGTCATGAATATTTCAGCAAACTAAGCATACTTCTTTGATACATATAATACCAAAGTATGGATGTAATATAATTTGTTAAAAAAATTAAGTCTCATAAGCTACAAATACTCTCATTAATAGTGCTGTAGGAAAGTTTTAAGACATTTTTCCTAATGTTGAGCCCCAACCTTTTCCCTTGGCGTTTATTCCTGCCTCTAGATCTACCCTGAGACACCAAAAAATTTTTGGAATTCTTTTCATTTCTCAGGGTACCATCAATGAAAAATTATGAAACTGTTTTTTTTTTAAATTGTGGGAACATACACACAAACATAAAATTTAACATTTTAACCATTTTTAAGGACACAGTTCAGTGGCATTAAGTCCATTCAACTTGTGTGCAATTATCATCACTGTCTGTCTGTAAAATGCAATTGTTTTCTTATGTTGCTATGTATTAGAAATCATAGCTATCTTTACCAAATTCTAAGTACTCTAAAAAATTCAAAGAAAGGCGATAAGCTCCAACTGGAGTATGAAGGCAGGGAATGTTTTTGAAATCTAGTGAAGTTTCATGGAGAAACCATAGTATCTGATGTTGGAACATTGTGGTAGGAACTGTCCTAGGCACATTCACAGGTGATTTCAAGGCAATGACTGTTCCTAGATATTCAACTGCTCACAAAGAGGGAGACACAGGAGGCAAGCTAACAATTATTAGGAGGCTACTGCAATAGTCGAACAAGTGGTAATGAGAACCTGAGCAAAAAACTAGGGTGTGGAATAGATAGGAAAGCTGGGTACGCATGTTTATATTTATAAGATGAGTACAGACGGGAGAAACATCGCAGAGACAAACAACATAAAGTCTGATAAGTGAACTAGACCTAGACGTGAATAGACAGTGAAGGAGAACTCTTGAATTTTCACGTGTGGTGAGCTAGGGAAACACGAGAGCCATATGGAAAACAGCAAAGTTGGGAGGAAAGGGGAGTGGGGAGAATGAGGAAAGAAGCAAATTTTGGTTTAACTGGGCAAAAGAAACTGGTGGGATAACCAGATAAAAGGTAAGGAGTAGGTAGCTGAAAATGATACAATGTATAATCAAACTCTAAAGTCATACTCAGGAGTAAACTGAACAGAGATGCCACTTCTATTCATGAAATACATAAATATAAGGGACACTATACCTCCTTTATTTAACTCCCCCCAAATAACTAAATACTTACCATTTGCCACACTTGCATGATATTGTCTTCTGACACAGAACAGATCACCCAGGGTTCATTGGGATTCCAGGAGAAATCAGATATCTTGGCAGTGTGACCACCATGAATAAACTGGAAGAAGGAAAACAGGATATGAAAAGCAGATAGAAGACATTAAATTACAGATGATTTCAACTGCTCGATGTTTGTAACATACCAACAACTCTGGTGGCCCATCTTCTGCATCTTCTGGAGATTGTTCCTCCCCAATTTTACTAGAACAAAAAGATTAATTGTTCAAGTACAGTTTTCTGCCTTCCCCCCAACCCAACCCCCAGTGCTCCCCACCTCCCTCCCATTTCCACCCCCCATTATTATTCATGTGTCCTCTATAATTGTTGAGATTTTAAAAAATTAACTAATTTTGTAGAATATAAATCAAGAAAATAATTCCACAAAGAGTAACTAATACAGCACTTACCTTAAATCCCAGACATTTAGTCTGCGATCAGTACCACTGGAAGCCAAAAT